CATTCATTAGATAACCTCAACGGTGACATATTAATTACAGGGGCGCTTTGATTTGTGCGGTCTACTGGGAGCTGGTTTTCCTGCCGTCTTCCTGTTGCTTTGACACATTTTTGGCTCAGCCCCAAAAAATACCAGAGAGTGCCAAAAATTAGGTGATGGAGGACAGGTGTGAGCAGTCTTGTGATTGATCGTGAAGCTTTGATTATATGGGACGACCGAGCGATTAGGAAGCAGCGCTGACCACAGATAAACCGTCTGTCTCCACAGACAGCCTGAGGAAATAAACTAGCGTATACTAAAGCTGCTTGCCATGTTTTCATCCCACCCAACCCAATTCATCCCACCAATGAGATAATAAGAGGGGCATTTTGTGAATGGGGGTTCTATTTTGGGTTCTATTTACTGACCACTTTGGCGTGATGTGCGTTCATTGGATCTGCATATTGTAGCAAGGCCTGGAACTGGTTGTTCTTGGTGAAGGTAATGATCTTTAGGACCGTTCCAAATTTTGAGAAGATCTAAATGAAGGAGAAGACAAGAAAATGAAGAACAGGCATGTTAAAAATTCTAGTTTAAACCAGCCCAAGCTGGTTTGCTCATCTTAGCTGATGGTCTAGCTGGTCACCCAACCTGACCCAGGTGGTTTTGAGCTGGTTTAGCAGGTCAGCCAGCTGATAAGTGGCTAAAATCCCAATAAAGCCAATAAACCAGACCAGTCTGACCAGTGGAAACCATCCTTGAGTTCCGCTGAAACCAGTAAACAACTTCGGGCTGGTTTAAGGTGCTGGCTTCCAACACTAGATTTCAACTTTTGAGTCCCACATGACTGGACTACAAGAAATCTTTGAACACCAGTGTTTCCTGCCACTTTGACTTTGTGGAAAGGTAACTTACAAGGCGATAAAGTAGGAAGTGTACATGTTAAACTGTGAAAACAGTGCAAGCAAATGAATGAGGTAACAAGTATTTGAGATTAAAACGGAAATATCCTGCTTGATATATAGCAGAAAGCAAAAAAATACGCATTTTGTTTTTTATCTGAATGTCATGATTACTTGATGTATTGATTGCATGCTGATGTAATTGAAAAACCATGCTGATAATTATTATAACAGAAATATAACCAAATATCAAACTGAATCAAGATATTCACAAATATTAAAACAAATCAAAGTTGGTATCAAATAAACATTGAATCAAAGGTTTGTGATTCAGAACTGAATCGGGAGTCAGTGCCAATTCCCAGATCTATTGGAGATCAATGACAAGCGTCAAATTTCGGTATAGTGTAGTCTTACCTGGTGTAGCACTTCTAGAGACACTGGGTAGTAGAGATTCTCTACGATGATACGAAGCACAGGACTTTGTCCAGGCATCATTCCACCATCACTGCCTGTCGCAGTCCCAGCGAGACTCATATTCCCAGAATGCACAGCATTGACAGCTTGCAGAGCAGCCTGAGCCCTCTACAAATGAGACGTACAGGCCAGGGTTAACATTCTGACCAAACTCTTCTAAAACTTTACACTCACACAGAGTACACACAAGTTCACCTCAATCTTACTTCTGCACTCGCTGGTATGCCTGATTCCCATAGCTCTAAAATGCACTCTCAGCAAATGACTCTGTAATGAGCCGTTTTACATACTGTAAAACTAATAGCTCTGGGTAGAGCAAAAGTATAAAGGAGGCAGTAAATATGCAGAGATACCATTCTGAGTTCGTAAAAAAGACAGCAAGCTAAATAATGTTAGGGTTATGTATGGGTTTAATGCTAGAGCTTCATCAGTCTGTCACACAAAGTGGAGTGCTTTCCACCTTTAAACAAGGCCAGAAAGTTTTCTTTTTAGAAAGTTTCTTTTTCTTTGCCAATTTATGACACAGCAAGGTTGTTTCAGGCTGACATAGCTAGATAGCTAGAAAAAAATTACCTTGAACATTTTTTTTTAATTGAGTACAATTACATGTATTCAAGGTATTTTAAATATTTTATTAATTTTTACTGATGGCTAGTCATTATATCAAACACTATTGAAAACAGTATCAAAGTAAAAAAAAAAAAAAAAAAAAAAAAA